AGAATGAGGACCTGATGCCGGGGGTTTAAGTGGAGAGCAAATGTTTTGAGAATGATGAGGGCAATGAATGTACAAATGTGCTTGACACAATTGATGTGTGTATGGATTGTGATAAGAGTTGTATGAGCCCCTAGCAAAATGATTTAAAAACATAGCAAAGAGATATAAAATGTATATGAGGAAAACGAAAAACGTTTTTTAGAAAATGGAGGTTTTACATAAGGGTAGCCAAAGTATGGCACATTGGGCCAAAGATCTTCAGTGGCATGTTGAACCCGAACTGGTTTTTCAGAATAATTTCCTTTCTCAAAACCCTTGTACCCAGCGGGGATTGTAGAGGGTGTTTGTGTTGTGCCCAAATTACACTGTGTATGGCAGTGGGTGGCGGAGTAATGAAGCCCATAAAAGACAGCACCCTGAATAGTAATCTAAACAAGGAAAGGAACCGCACAAGAACGGGAGTCCCCAAACTGCAAAAGGTCCCCAGCCAGCCTCTTGGTCGGCTGGGTTGCGGCCACTAAAAGCAGGAGGCCTATGGGGTGAGTGGGTGGTATGATTAAAACCAAAATAAGGGCCCCCCAAATGGACATATGGGCCCACCTTGTGGGGAGAAGATGTAGACAAACATCCCTGACACTGCGGACAGTCACGAGAGCCCCAACCCTTACAAAAGTACACAAGTTCTGGATTTGCTACTCTTTATTGATCATCGGTTCTGTTAAACCAGTCCTTGGGAAACGGGGAAAGTTCTATTGAAGCTCACCATGGTTCCATTCACTGGGCTGCACCAATCTTTTCCATGAGGGGCAAAATCGCCTGTTTGTACATCACCGAGCACAACAAATTGTCCAGGGCAGCTGACACATTTGAGCTGGAACCCCATCGACAAAAATCAACGGAGTCACTTGACAAAGAAAACTCGCCCGCAAAGGATGCCCAGTAACTGTTGTTCAAAGGGACGAACGTATTCTCTCCCATGGTGCCGTTGGTAGAAAAGGCCACTGGTAGCCTGGACCCCCAGGTAACTGAGGCAAGAACTGGGGGATTTCGTACTGCCGCCCATTGGAGGGGCGAGGCGTCAACTTGTGAACTGGCAGTAATAAGGGCACACATGAACAAAAATAAGGCATATGGTCCCGTCTGCTGACCCTCAGGAGACATCGCTTGAGCTTGAGTCACTAGGGCCTTCAGTGCCTCCCACGTTCCTGGCGGGATTTGGGTGATGCATCTGTGACGACGATGTCTGTGGTCTTCCTCCCGGTTTTCGGAGGTGTGTTGACTGTGGCCCTCCGTGGGGCTCTCCTCGCTCAGGGACAGGTTCTCCATTGCCGTGTGCTGAGGGTCCATTGTGTAGGGTTGCATCAAATGTGTAGCCAGGCACCCAAATGTGCTTTCCCACTCCTTCTGGAAGTACACAGGCAAAACCTCTCCCTTGGGTTAGCATGGGACCAGGGCCCTTCCATTGATTGGCCACCTGATCCTTCCATTTAACCAGGGGTAATGGAATTGTTTGTGGCAACATTGAACCCCAATGCTTATAAGCTGGGGAAAGGCTTTGTTTGTCAAATTTTTAAAAATCCAATGTAAATAATGCCTCTGTTAACTTCTGTGGTCTTTTCCTCCCTATGTGGTCCCCCCTTTCCAATTGTTTTTTAAGAGCTGCATGAGCACGTTCAACAACACCCTGTCCCTGAGGGTTCTACGGGATGCCTGTTTAAAGAAGAGCGGAATGCAGTAAAAGAGGAGCTAGTGTAAGCCGGCCCATTATCAGTTTGTGTCGTATAGGGCACGCCCATCACAAGCATGGTAGTGTTGACTGCAGAAATTACTGCTACTGCATTTTCCTTCGATAAGGCTGTAGCAAACATACATGAAGAAAACGTATCTATAATAACATGTACAAATTTTAAACGGCCAGATTGGGGAATATACATTCCATCCATCTGCCAAAGGGCATTAGGGCGGAGGCCCCGGAGATTTACACCCATGGGTTGGAGGGGGCCCAACAGGAGTAACGGTCCACAAGCAGAACAAACAGGAACCAAATGTTTACATGTTGTTGCTTAGATAACTCTGGGAACAGGACTCAGCCCAATTGTGGAACTGAGTGTGCATCCGGTGAGCTGACTCTAAGGCGTGGACACCCACCAGTTCATCAGTCTGCTGACTGCCTGGATACGCTGCACATAGATCGGGTGATCTCTCTGTTCCAACAATAACTGCATGGAGGCCATCGCAGCATGGAGAGCACCTGGGATAGGTTGAATGACAGCCAGCGGAAGGTGAAGAACACTGACAGCCTGCTGGCTGTCAGAAAAAACATTGACGGGGTTAGGATAATCGCGCAAAAGCGCCAATAAGTCTCCATGCTATACAGAACTCAGATGTATAAATAACATCAGG